AAAAATAATAAAAGACCGTCCACTTTCCCCTTTTTTGATGTTTCGAGAGGCGACTTAGGGGGATGGGATTAGGATTAGCTGAAGAGGCAATGGGCATGGCACAAAATATGCAGAACTGACGGCCGATTGTGCAGTTTTGGAGTGTAGACCACATACCAGAAAGCGTAGCGTGGGTCATTCATCCACCTACTAGGTGGACAGACGACATACCTATGTATAGCAGTGGGCGTCCTGTGGCTGAAATGATGATGAGCGGCAACTATGGAAGAAGTATGAGAATACGAGTATCAGGCCTTCTCAACCCGTCTGGCCAACGTGGAGTGTAGACCAATTCCTCCATATGACTCTGGTAAATTGTAGTCATGTTCCTGAAAAACTAAATTACTTGATGATGTATGAAATAAAATACCTTCATTTAACACTAGAAGTGCCGAAGATTACGACCCCACTAAAAGCGCCGCTGGGTCAATTTTGTCCCAGCATGTATTTTGTAACATTTTTTAGTTTCAGGCATGAATATTATGGTTAAAACTATTTGTAGTATCCTTAAAAAAAGGTTTATCTATGTGGTTAAAACAATATGTACTTATTTCTTTAAAAATATAAATGTATTCAATTTTAATTTGGAATTATTAAAATTTAGATATTTTTGGTTTCATTTAAAAATAGTCACATATTACGTGGTGGTATACTGTATTAAAATCATGAAATTACTACTTTAACTAGTCATTATTATTTTTAAAGAAAAAATAAATATCTTAAAAATAATAGTGCACATTTTGCACAAAGTTTTTTTGTATGGTTTTTTGTCTATCTCTTGTACTATGTGTTTAGGAATTTCTATAGGTATGGTTATTTTTCTGTTATCTGTACACAAACAATGAAGTTTTTGACCAATTACAATGAAAAGTATGTACGTTTAATCTTCAAAATTTTATAAGTCACACATTTTAAAAATGTATCAAATCATACAATGTATGAACTGGCTTATGTCTAGAGGCCATCTTCCTACTAATATTATAAATGTAAAAGTTAATAAATATTGATGAATTGAAGGATGGATGGACTGATGAATGGATAGGATAGATGAATATGTGGATATATGCCTGGAACTTGAGCTAAGTGAGTATGGATTCATGGTTAGATCGATGGATGTTTTTTCACTCTTTTACGCAAAAAATACTAAGCCGATCTTAATAAAACTTTGCAATTTTATTTTTATTACTTCAGAATAACATAATATAGGCTATAATTTAGAATAATATTCAGTTATTTGGTCAAAAAGCAACGATAAGTGTAAAAAAATTAGGTCTTTCTATGATAAACTTAATTTCTCACGGGTGAAGTCACAGGCAAAAACTAGTACAATATATTTACATTTCTGCATTGTCGCGAGTCACCTAAACTCTCCTCACCTCTCCACTTTCGTATCTCCTCGAAAAAAGGACTCTTCATCGAATTATTGTGGCAAATACCGGGGTGGGACAAAATTGACCCAGTGGCGCTTCTAGGTAAAACCGATTTTAAATTTTTTTCTATTAATGTTATATTATCAAAAACATTAAAAAATGATAAAATTCAACAAATCAGAAAAAGTCAAAAAGTTTCATGGACTTTCGTTGAAAAATAAAAAAGTTAGAGCTGATCAAACTCGCGAGTGGGACAAAAATGGGACGGCGGCCTTTCTAGTGTTAACCGTTATAAAAGGTTTATTTCTGCCTGAAAGTGTATTAGCTCTAAGTTTGAGAAAACGTGACACAGAATAACGACGTTCTTTAATAAATTCTTTGTCTTTCTGCTATGCGATTACCAGCCCTATTCCGAATGCAGTAAGGCCGTGAGATAAGTTAGAGACTGAATGTTAAGTTAACAAAGAATGAAAAGCCTAGCGGCAAAGATTTATATTTAGTTCTTAGTGGAATGATTGTATGAGATTTGTGTTTGAATGGAAATCACATACTTAGTAAGAAAGACGAAGGTAGAAATAGTATGTAGGTACTGTGAAATATAAGAGAAAGGTTCATTCATTCTATCATTCGCTCACTGAGTAAACACGTAATTTCGTAGACCTTAAGAAGTCCTGTATAGCTGAACTTAGCACTTGGTGGTCAACATTATACAGGGTGTTTGGTAAATGGGTATATGAGCCGACACTAGCCCATGTTAACATGGGCATATAAATGATATGGTGAAGTCAGAAATTTGATATCATCATTTTATTTTTTTAAATTTTCATACAAAATAAATTTTATAAATTCCGATTTGTATAAAAATTAAAATAGTTAAAATGAAGATATCAATTTNGATATGGTGAAGTCAGAAATTTGATATCATCATTTTATTTTTTTAAATTTTCATACAAAATAAATTTTATAAATTCCGATTTGTATAAAAATTAAAATAGTTAAAATGAAGATATCAATTTTCTGACTTCACCATACCATTTATATGCCCATGTTAACATGGGCTAGTGTCGGCTCATATACCCATTTACCAAACACCCTGTATAGGAATTAAGTGTATTGAACCGGATATCACCAGCGGGACAATTAATTCTAAGGAAGTAGGTACTTAAACTTAAGAATTTCAGAATTTATTCCCAGTAATTTTCAAAGAAATTAAATCATGTTGTTGGGCCTTTTTTTTGTACCTATTTTCAGAACTCATTTAAGAACTCGCTAGGGGAAATATTAGGTATTTGTAAGGAAAGGAATTATAATACATATCATCGACAATAACTACATTTTAACTTATTTTACTGCTTGTTTCCTTTTACAGAGGTTCAAAGGCGCTGTTCTGTGTCCTTATTATTCTCTTCGCAAATTGTCGTCTTTTGTCCCATTATCCTATGAAGTCTCAATTTCTCCCACATTATCGTGACAAATGTGTCAAAACAATATTATCGCGTTCGCGAAGCCCGAACAATTTCGCAAACATATTGCGACTTCTGCCATTTCCCAGATTCTATCGAAACTGTCTCTTATTACTAAAGTAATACTAAAGTAAGGATCTAGACCACTTTGTGTTTAGCCATTCTCGTCCTTCCCACCTTGAGTATTGCGGCGATAATCGCCGGGAAAGATTGGGGGATTTAGGGGTGTCACGAGTTAGGGATAATTTGCTATATTGACGTAAAAGCGTACAATAATATTTCGCATGGTCATCATAACTTAACATATTGACAAGTTTCATATTGACACGCTAAGTGATGCTTTTTTAATTAGCTTGATGATTGGCATTGATCAAAAATATTGTAATAATATATCCCTCCTCTCGTCAAGTATCCTAATAACTAAAAACCACTAATAAACAATATCTAATTGTGACAATATCTAATTTATTTTAAGTAGGTGCGGCATTAAACATTGTGCCAGATTTTAGCTTTAGCTCACTAACGGACACTCTTTTGATAAGTTTGATGTTTTTGCTACAAAGTAATTTGTAGAAGTAATCAAACAATAGGTAAACGAATCCAGTCATCACACTTTCGCATCTTTGTATACGAAAATGCTCAAGTTTATTGTATTCACAGGATACAGCCTTATGTAAGGCCAATAAACGTGTGGCAGCCCTACGTTTAAGCCTTGTTAACTCAAATCGGAACCGTTACTGGGGCTTAGGTCCCGAATCTTATTGTTATGGCAGGCCTCCGTCACTCGCCTATGCCGGCCGAGATAATTACCTACAGCGCGCGACAACTTCAAGTTGCAAATCAGTCATGGCCGTCCCGCGCCTGTGTACACACGCGTATCTATACTCGCTCAGTCGATCATCGTCGCAATCAAGGTTTATTGTTCCAACAGCACTGTTATCCTTCTTTAATAGAAAATCGTAATATATAGGAATAATAATTAACTGTAGTAATTTAAATAATTAATAAAAACTACACTTTTTAAATAATTTTGAATACTTGTGACAAAAAACTGTAGCAAAAAAACATTTTAGCTAATATAAACATTAGCTTTACTTCAGCGTGTCTATTTTCCGACACTACACCTTTTAAAACTGTTTGTCCAATTTTAAATTATCGCAACACTGAAGTTTATTAATAGGTACTTTAGAGATGGTACGATTATACAAACACCACTAGATTAAAGTTTACCAATCGTAAATACAATAAATGCTTCTTAAAATGAAGTTTTTATTTATTTTACTTTGCTTATACAACCCTGACGCTTGAGCTGTGAGGTAGATCAATTCTGAACACAAAAAAATTGCGCTCTTGTGAGCGTAGTAGTAAGGTGCGATTTCGAATGCACCATGTGCGTTGGATATTTTGCATTATTATTATTACCGTTAAAATGTCGGCATCTGATCCTACACAAAGGAGTGCAATTTCTGTTGCTACTATTATGTATTCTGTGGTTATGGTAATAAAGCCGTGATAAATCTATTTTTATCGCGAAGGCTTTCTTGAGGTTCCCGATTTGCAATTGCGAGTGGAAATGCAAATGTCACATTTTTAGGATAATGTATTTTAAAAAGTTTATAAAGTAGGACCTTTTAGTCCAATTATAGTATTTTGTTTATTCCATTATTAAATAAGTAAATCTTTACTTATTAAAATACCGTTTTGTATGGAAAACTTTATGAAAATTAATTTTTCTCTGATATTAATTAACATTAAGCTTTAAGACGCATACCTATGTAGTTATGGACATCTCTGTAACTAAGAATGGAAAATATAAGCAGCTGTTGAATTACAACAATAAATCTAAGGAATCGGTAAAAAATATGAGTTATTAATATTATTAACCCGATGAACCATTTTTATACTATTAATAAAAAATAAATATTATTATCATGTTTTATAACTAAGCAAAGCTTTTGTATGCTGAAACTGATGGGACAGTAAACAAACTTATAAACACGAATATAAACTTTCATGAATGATAATGACACCAATAAAAATTGATGACCTCATCTTAACAACATTTATTACACAATTAATACATTAATTATCTTATCACAAAAACAAATTATCACAGTATCGCCCGCTGCCGCTAGCGCCATCTATTGATATCAAAACGGATGCTATCTGACAGCTCTGCTGGACCGACATATTTGTGCGCGCATGCGTAGTCTGCCCGAGGCCACGGCCACGGAGTAACGCGACGCTCTCAATACGTGTCAAACATCAATTCAATAATGTTTTAAGTGCTGTGATTACTGTAAATAATAAACTACTGTGTTTTGACAAAGTGCACGCTTGAACAACGTAAGTATTACAGTCTTTTGTTTATAAGTTTAGGGAAATGAATCTGTCATAACCTATCTTTTCGTTTGATGTTCCGCGCATGTGTGAAGCAATTAAAGAGCTGTGTATGATGTGTTGTTATATTTGAATGGAATTAGGTGTTCTTTTAGTAGTACAAGTATATTGTTATGTTCTAAGATTGGAGTAATGTTTGTGGAATAGTACAGTTATTTTGTTGAGTGTTCTCGAGCTGTCGCTGACTTGACCTTGATGTTTTGTCACTGTTGTCAGCTGCTAGGGTTCGATTCCCGACATTGTATGATTTGTTTACAAACTTTTTTGTGTAGTAAAGTTAGGCAATAAAGATTCTATTCTATTTTATTCTTTGCAAAGTGAAATAAAATGTACTCAAGTAAAGGTATCATTGTTAGAACAGTAGATGATTTAGGTTATTGACTTTCACACAGAGCGCAATAAATTCATGAAAGTTTATGTAGACTAATTAAATGAATAAAATTAATATTAATTAATGTTTCTTTTTCTTTCAGATTCAAAATGAATATAAAGGCGGCGTTGGCCATTTCGATGGTCTTCATTGGATGCTGTTCCAATGTAGTGTTCCTGGAGTTAGTGGTGAAAGAGGACCCTGGCGCGGGAAACCTGGCCACCTTCCTCCAGTTTCTCTTCATAGCCGTAATGGGCTTCTGCACCGTCGGCAAATTCGGGACGGCACCCAGGAACATACCCTTCAAGCAGTACCTGATCCTCGTAGGCTTCTTCTGGACTAGCAGTGTGGCCAACAATTACGCGTTCGACTTCAACATATCCATGCCTTTACACATGATCTTCCGAGCCGGTTCCCTCATGGCTAACATGGCTATGGGCGTTTGGATCCTCAAGAAACGGTACCCTCCGCTGAAATACCTGGCAATCTTCATGATCTCAGCAGGAATCGCGATATGCACCGTTCAATCCAGCGGCGACGTGAAGGCACCCCGCGAAACACACGACGACGCAGCTGAGGAAGAACGACTAAAGTTCATTGATTGGCTCTGGTGGTGCCTCGGCATTGCCATACTAACCTTCGCGCTATTCGTCTCAGCCAGAATGGGCATTTTCCAAGAGTCCTTATATTCCAAACACGGCAAACATCCCTGGGAGGCGCTCTACTACACGCATTTACTGCCATTAGTATTCTGGTTACCCACCGCCCCTAATTTGATTGGACATGTAAAACTTGCGACAGAAACACCAGACGTGGAATTCCTAGGTCTAATTTTGCCTAGGCAAGTTTTGTATCTAATCCTGTACGTATCCACTCAGGGTTTGTGTATTAGTGCTGTGTATGTGCTGACAACGGAATGCGCGTCATTGACGGTCACTTTGACAGTGACACTTAGGAAATTCGTGTCCCTTTTGTTCTCGATCGTGTACTTTAGAAATCCGTTTACAATGGGTCACTGGATAGGAACACTGTTAGTGTTTATTGGCACAATGATCTTCACTGAATTGCTGCAGAAGTTTGTGGCGTTGTTCTTGCCAGCGAAAGTGGAGAAGAAGAAGAAAATGTAAATAGTAAAAAGGACTAGTTTAATTCAATATTTCATGGTGATTCGAATGCATTGCCGATACTAAATGCGCGGGCAAAAGTTGTGATACGAGTAAGTGAAAATGTGATTACTTTACCTCGGATTTTCAAATGAATGAAATATGAATTTTAAGAAAAGATGAAAATAATATAAAGATAATAATTATGTCAGATTTTATGATTATAATAACTTATGAATAAAATTAAATGAATAGTTGTTTCCATATAAAAGTAAAGATCAATAGAATTTTAATGTAGAATTATGAAAGAACATGTTCAGTTCAGGAAGTAAATGGATATTTAGTTTTAACAGAAATGGTAAACTACAGAGTGTGCCATTTAGTTAAAGTTATGAATTCCTAAAATTAGATCGACAAACCAATTAAAGTAAGACTCATGATTCATGGTCAAATGGTGAGTGGGAGTGAACATATCTCTGACTAGAACATTTTAAATGAACAATGCGTTAGAAAATCTAAAGTAGTATTTAAAATAGTAATTAACCTTAGTAACTTTCTTCTATAGTGTTACTGAGGTCACAACCCTGGTGTCAGATATCATGAGGCGCCACGTCTGACGCGGCTAGATGGACTGACGGCTTAATGTGCCCTCCAAAGCACGAATCATAGTTTCTTTTAATTATTGCACACGCGAAGACATGCCTACGATCGAATTGCTATGCCGTTGGTTCAAAAAGAAGATTTAATAATAATTAAAAATGTATTTCAATAGTTATAAAGTATAATAAAGGCCAATAAGATCGAGGAAAATATTAAATTATTAATATTGCAATGTTTCCATAAATAAAAATTTTTATCTTGGAAATACTTTTATTATTAAGATAATTGTTTTGTAATTTCTGTTAGGCATTTAGGTTGTCAAGTAGTTGTCATTCTAATATTAATAAATTAATATTATTCACCCATAATCACGAAACTATTACATAGTTAGAATGACCAAGGTACATAATATCAAAATATCTACATAAAAAGTACAAAATGAGGTGCATGGTATGTATTTACTTTTCAATCCAGATATTGACTGCCAGTTGCTATTATTAAAAAGTATTTATTTATATTATAAGCTTATGACGTGTAAATCTGCTCATCAATGTAATGTAAGTATTAAAATATTATGTAGAATTAGTGAAATTAAACACCTAAACGTGACGTAAGCACGAGTAATATTATTATGTATTTTTTTCGTTTTGAATAAATTTTGTTATAATGAATGTATGATTGTATTTTTGTTGAATATAATGACTGAAACATACATGCTTTGTATACGAAATGTAAAACATATAAATATCTAAGTAGGTACATACACACTTTTTTTGTTTTCTGTACAGTCAAAAGAATATTCTGAGTATTAAAAAAACCTTTAAAAGGGGATTGATTTTTTTTACATATAAATAAGACAATGCAATACTATTATTTTGCAAGACTGTAGGTACGTGCTCGTAATAATGTTAATGAATGAATAACCCCCATAATATTATAAATCTTACTGAGCTATACATAATATAGTACCGTTTTAATTATGTTGTCACTTTTTGTTAATGTTGATTTCACTGTGATATTAAGCAAAAACAGTGCTTTATGTCGGTTTTGGTTTATATTATTATGGGAGTGAGTATCACGTGTATTGTTGACGTTAAATCTGTATTCGTTGAGTTGTGAAGCTGTATAAATAATTAAATAACAAAAATAAATAATGTTTTAAATTATTACGTCTTTTAGTATGCCTAATTAATCTCCCACCGGTCCGCAATTAAAATCTGAGGCTGAGTTGCACCACCTACCTAACTTTGACCGTAACTGTAACTATGACGATAACCAGTGTTTTTTGTATGGAGTTTGACAGATTTTTGACGTGTGTCAAAGTTAAACTAAGATTGTGGATCCCAGCCTAAGTGCTTTTTCTCTGTGATGCGCATTTAGGCACGCGTGCGGACTTAATCCTCATGCGGACTACCCGCATTTCATTATTTCATACAATACATGTTTTTCCTATACGCGGGATAGACGCACGCGGAACGCGGATCCGCTGCGATTACACAATACGAAATCTTTGTCCTGCGTGCAACCAGCAGCGTGATTTAACACGCACGCGGACCAGATCCGCATGCGTTCCGAAACCCGCATCACAGAAAATGACACTTAGGCTGAGTTGCACCACCTTAATGTAACCGTATCAATAACATAAACCGGTGCTTTTTGTATGGACTTTAACAGCTTTTTAACGTTTGTCAAAGTTAAAGTTAGATGGTGCAACTCAGCCTTAGTGAACAGGTCTGTACTAGGTAGCTACAATAAAACCGTGGACTGTATGTACTATATCATTCTATTTCGCCTTCAAACTAGTTCTACTACATTGTTCTACTTTGATAGACCTAGACAGACTATGACAGACACATAATTTTGGGCTCCTCTTGACCCAAGGAAATGGAAAAAATCAAATTGAACCGCGTGTTAATCTACCCTCAGTGCCATCTAGTATCACTTTGTAACAACTAAAACCCAACATAAACAACAGTACTATCTTTTGATACTAGATGTCACTTTATACACATATGTGACTTCAACATGCCGCCCACCAAGGACAGAATGTCCTTAACTATGACCCATACATGTCTAGTATAAAACCTCTCGTATAAAAACCCTCACCTCGCGTATAAAAACCCATGTTTAAGAACCCCTCGTATAATAAACCCTTTACATATTAAACCACTCGTTTAACTAAACCTTAAAACTAGTAAATCAAATAATATAACATTCCTTAACAGTTAATTACTTATTAACCAGTGAAAACCAATTTTAAAAACTACACATTTTACATTTACAAAATACAAGTCATCCCATCAGTTCAGGGATTGTCCTAGAAAATCTTGCAAAACAACCACGTACTTGGAGACAAGTTATCATCCTACAACAAAATTGTATCCCCGACTGCCGGCTCAGAACTTTTATGAGCCTGTTAATAAACCTTGCATGAAAATTGTAAAATGTCTATAAAATATCAATTGAACTTATTACCTACCTAAAACCACGAACTGAACTAGAGTGAAGAACAGTTAACATAGATTGGTCTACCGTATCTATTGAACATAAAAACCTTTTTCTTTTCGAGTTTAGTGTATGATAGTTTGCTCTCTTAAAAACCCTTGAAAAACTTTCATACACACTACTAACAACTTAGTCATCCAAACAGCTCCATAAAACTTAAACTGCGATATACCTACTCATTTGTTACCGAAGTAACGGAGTTTTGACACTAGCAAACTAGCCCAACGGGAATTTCCCTGATGCAGTGATTACGCGTAAATAAACCCCAGCAGCGTAAGCATCGTTGAAGGCATCTAAGCATCCCTGCAGCTCTGCAAGCATCGAGGTGATCAAGTGCATACCACCGTAGATACTTTAGCTAAGTGGTAACTCGTTGAAAGGTAAGTATTCCCATCTTTAGTTAACTCCCTTAAAGGTTCTTCATCCCACCCTATTCCAGCTATCCTTACTGCTTGATAACTCTTCGCTTAAGCAATTTGCTATCCATCCTAATGGATTGAATAGATGCGATACCATACAACCGATATAATTTTTCTTTTTTTACAGGTGCGGACAGCAGCGGCAATTCACCGAGTACTGAAATTTATCATTGTTCCTGTTTCAGGTAAGTCCCTCTTTTATTTTATAGTTGAAATCCCAGTTGTCCTTCTTTGTCCTTTTTGTTCTAACAACCTTAGTAACTCTTCTCTGTTACATAACCATTTGTCCTTTAAATCCCTCATCTGTACTATAAATCCCTAGTTTGTTCTATAAATCCCTCATTTGTACTATAAATCCCTAATTTGGTCTATAATCCCTTATTTGTTCTAGAATTCCTAAGTTGATCTATCCTTCTTCCCCAGTTTGACTCCATTTGCAGTCAAACACCACTTTCGCAGTTGATCTATTTCCCTTCATAACAGCATGTTGTAAGTATACTACTTGTTCTTTATTGTACTTAGTTTCCTGTTTTAACTTCATGTGTTCTAGCTGTGTATTATCCTCTGTGTATCTTCTGTTCTTTAGCTTGTTGTATCCGTAATAAATCTTTGTTCTAAATGTTTTCAATTTTCTGACAGTTGTTTCTTCTTGGTTACAGGAAGGCACTTCTTCGTGGTATGGTAACTTCACTCCGTATTCTTCATTTGCACTCCGACGAGTGGTGGCAGCGAAGATTTCTTCACGTCTTTGTTCTTTAGATGTTAACTTTCTTGACGTGAATAAAGTTTCCATATCCAAAACCTTAGAGCGTTTTGAACTAAATCCCTTTACACGCGCATGCAACACTGTAACACGTTTTTCATCAGCAGCTGTATTTATCGGTCCAGATATTATCCACCCAAGCGTGGTGCACTGTGCCACAGGTGAACCCTTAGGTCCCCTCAACAAACCATCCCTTAATATCTGACTACATACGTCTGCTCCCAGAAGAATATCAATCTTGTTCGGTACGTTAAATTGCGGATCCGCTAAATAAACATGACAATGTAATAATTCAACCAAATTGTCTAATGAAACTCTCTGTCCTGGTAAGTATGACGTAATGTCGCTAAGAACATACGCCTCTACCTCTATCTCAAAACTCGGATCTAGTTTAGATTTAAGTGTAAGTGAAACCATAGATCTGGAAAACACAGAAGGTTTCGCATCACCTAAGCCTGATATGTTATTTGTCACATTTATTTTCTTTAGTCCCAAACCTTGGACCGTAGCTTCTGTCACGAATGAAGCTTGAGAGCCTTGATCTACTAAAGCCCTACACACGTGATATTGGCCTGTCCTAGACTTAACGTCAACCAATGCTGTTGCTAGTAACACATGACTGCTCTTAGTCTTGGCGCAACATGCCATGTGATTTGCAGTCTCAATTGGCTGCGTATCCTGTTCTAAATCTTTTAGATTGTTGTCCTTACCCGCACCTTCTTCTACTACTTGACCTAAAAACCCTGAACCAGCAGTCGAAGTGGGGGCTTTCCCTGAATGAAGCAAAGAATTATGCCGTTTTTTGCAAACTCTACAATTGGTGGGTGATCGGCAAAACTTTACACCATGTTTACTTCCTAGACAGTTATAACACATTTTATTTTTTATAACAAAGTCACGTTTGTTCTCATAACCCAAATTCGCAAACTCTTTACAAAAACATAATTTGTGTTCCTTCCCACAAAACTCGCAAGATAATTTTTGAACATTAGTCGCATGTAAAGCCCTAGTATGACTAATATTCTGCCCGGTATGCACATTGGAGGCTGACTGTTTACTGAAATGCTTTGGTTCGATACATTCCAAAGCCCGAAACCTATCGTATAAGAAATCTTTCATTTGATCGTAAGTTGGTAAACAATCAGACGCTACAGTTCTAGCAATGTGCAGTTCCCACTCCTTGCGTGTCTCGGGATCTAGCTTTGAACTCAACAAATGTATGATCATTATATCCCACGTAGAGACATCTATCCCTAAATTAATTAAAGCATTTAAGCAATCTGAGGTCGTGTCAATAAAATCCTTTAAAATACCTGCAGATACAGTATTGGCATTTCGCTGACTTAAAAACCTTTTCAAAATGTTGTGTGCCAAATACTTTTTGTTGCTGTATCTTTGTTCTAACAATACCCAACATTGATCGTAATTAACCTCAGCTACAGGTATGTATCGAATGAGTTGTTCTGCCTCTCCCGTCAAATATCCCTTCAAATACTGTAAACGCTGAACATTGTCGAGAGAGTACTCACGGTTCGCACTTCACTCACACATAGATTGCACTGAAAACCTTCTTTGTCGATGTGTAGTGAAGCCCGTAGATCCCGTTGTCCTCAGTCGCTGATCCAGCTGAGCCTGCAGCAGGCCACAACCAGGAACTCCTTGCTTGCCTCAGCTCGATTCAGCTCCTCCAACCAGCTCTTCATCCAAGAGCTGTTCTGCACTCCATGAACCAGCTCGTAATCCAAGAGCTGTTCTGTTCTCCAAGAACCAGCTCATCATCCAAGAGCTGTTCTGTACTCCAAGAACCAGCTCATCATCCAGGAGCTGTTCTGTACTCCTCCTACCTACCACGTACTCGGTTTGTTGCAGCGATCCACTGCGAGTACGGGTTACAGCGGTTTTCACCACTGTGCACTCAAAAATAGCCTTTATATTCCGGCTCGTCAAGGACCATGAACAGGTCTGTACTAGGTAGCTACAATAAAACCGTGGACTGTATGTACTATATCATTCTATTTCGCCTTCAAACTAGTTCTACTACATTGTTCTACTTTGATAGACCTAGACAGACTATGACAGACACATAATTTTGGGCTCCTCTTGACCCAAGGAAATGGAAAAAATCAAATTGAACCGCGTGTTAATCTACCCTCAGTGCCATCTAGTATCACTTTGTAACAACTAAAACCCAACATAAACAACAGTACTATCTTTTGTTAC